ACACTCATAGCAGGCAGATATTCTAATGACATAGGATTTGCCACTGGACACACATCTTTGAAAATAATTTCAATGTAATTATAAAGGTATTATATGTGGACAACACCATCAAAAAATATTAAACATGCTGTTTATTCACTTGGGCATAATACTAATTTCTTCTGCATGTTTAAACTTACTTGGCTAATTAATTAAATAATACAAGCTAGAGTTAAGTTTTCATTTTTCATTGTAACATGTTATTCCAGAACATTGTTTTTACTAAACTCTACATGGGGCTTTTTTCAGAAACCATACCGAAGTGCAGCTATGTCCTTCAAAAAATGTTCCTTTGACAAAGGAAATTTTTTAAATGGCTACAAGAAAAAAAAGAGTTAGCTCTGAGTAGAAAACATGTCATGTTTCGATGATTTCTCATCTCAGAGGGAAGACAAATTTACTTTCTCTGCTGAAATTTTTTGAAGTGAATTCTGACTGAAAAGAAGTGGCAGTGATTTAACAAAAACATACTGTTATAAAATATGATGTATATTCAGAAGCATAAATGATGCTGTTATAAACATGTACCTCTGCATTAGGTAACAGCATTTCTGTCAACTGAATTAGTCAGACTTTTTTTTTTTAATTCCTTTCCAGTTGATCTTTTTTGTACTGTAAATTTAAAGTAGCTCAGTGGCTACTTTTATCTATAATTTTGGCTTTCAAAAAGCACCAAATTGTGCTGTCCCATCCTCTAACCTGACCATTTGTTGTGGTGACTAGAAAACAGAGGCAACGTGCTCGTGCAAGTTCTACAAAAGTATCTGTGAAGAAAACATTTTTTAACTTTAAAGGGTAAGTTCGATATGAGTTTATATTTTTAAGTATTTGTCAAAGGGTTTTTTCCTTGTTAAAGATGGTCACATCTGAATCATAAAAATACTTTATTCATGTTTATATTTGTGACAAAATAACACTCTACAGATATGTCATCACAAAAATCAATTGTCTGAATGCGTTAAGAATATCAAAATAATTTTAACTGTTTTATTTTAAAAAGCACCTTGTTTTATCAGACTGTGGAATGTAAAGCCCTCTCTCAAAATTCATATAGCATTTCCAATTGTAAGACTGTTTTATGTAGTGGACTTATTATTAGATATGCATATTCTAGTGGCCTCTAGAGACTTTTCATTTAAAACATAAATTACATATAATTTCAAACTCTGGTATCTTTGACTTTAGTTGCAGAACTCACTTCCAGGACTTTCTGCTACTGATAGCTTGTGGTAATATATCAATTCTCCCAACAGGAACGTGCACAGGACAAATTAGTGAACGTAGTTTTAGCCATATGAGGTCATTACAGCTGTAGCCTTAGCTCTTCCTAAAGTGGACTTCATTGTTAATATAAATATATATCTATAATTACTGACATTTATATTATTTGGCTCCTGTCCTAAGTTATGGATACAGTGATGATAAAAGGGTCTTGCAAGCCCTTACCTAAGCGAACCATGCTTACTGATTACTTTCCATGGTTCTGGGTTCCTGTAAATAAAGTTACTCATGTATTTATAAGCAAGTCAAAATCTATACACATATTTCTAAAAGTGAATTATCTTGCTCTTTGGGGCAAACAGTGCAGTCTACTGCTTGGAAAAGAACATTGAGAGTAAAGCCATCCAGGATTCTTCTCAGCTTCTACCAGGACACATTCGCTCCCGTGTCACTGGCTATCTGATTGAAATATTTAATCCAGTCACATTTTTAAATGGTTCGAGACCCTAAACCAGAAGATCCTATGCAAAGTAAAAGGATGCATTACTTTAACAAATGGCTGTTGATTTTTCATCACTGTTTCCAAAGAGACGGGGGTCAGGGGGGTTTGTTTTAAAAGTGTAATTGTTTGTTCAAAAGCTGTAGCTCCCAGACACAAGGACTAGCAAAGTGCAGCATGGAAGATCTCAAGACAAAGCAGCAGCCTCAACATTTCTCTTGAAAGAGAAAAGGAAAAGACAGCCGAGGTCCCATAGGAATGCAGTATTTAGGGAAAGAACCAAGACTCCTTTCCTGAATGGGGAGATAACCCTGATGAATTCTGCACTACCTGCAATCTTACGGGCACGTCTAGGTTTAAGAATGATTTGGATCACAGACTGTAACATTTTCCAGACATTCAGAGTGGAACCACTAAGCCAGCAATTTTATGCTTTCCTTTCCCTGACTCCAACAGTACCACGATATAAGCAGCCAGATTTTCTTCTGCATTGTGTTTTTTATCCATTCAGCCAAAATTAACAGTCTTCGAGGATAACGTATGCCAAGTGAATTTAAATCTTGCGGACTCAAATCGACCTAAACTTGATGGATACATTCATGCCTACTGCTGAAATCTACCAATTACACAGAACTATGTTAACTTACCACAGAAACATCTCATCTAATAGCACAGATGATGTTGAACTAACTAATTACATTATGGCACATAGACAATGAAAAACATAACGAAGATGACAGCACAGCAACAGCAGATGCTGCACAAAAGAAAAATTAGAAAAATATTGCTCTGCAAAATGCTCTCAGTGAAGGTTTCCTCTGTTAAAATTAATCACAAAAATCAGTGAAGATCAGATTTCAGAAAAAGATACGAACATTGTAATGGTATTTGGAAGACGTCATTAAGCCATTTAAAACTCTGCTCCTTGAGAAGGTAATTCCCATTGTTTGTATCACTATCACTTTTAAGACTAGCAAACATTTTAGTGCCTATGGCAGAGTTTCTTGGTAGATATCTTTTCCAATCAGGATGGCTCTTCCGGAGTCTGAATTTGGTAGCTTCCAGCCATTACAGGCTCAGATAATTAGACAACTTAGATTTTATTTTAGCCTGGCATTTGCTCTATTCTTGTGCTCTTAGCTGTCAGAGAGCTAGAATAAGAGACTGTTGATGATCTGTGGCATGCCTTGTTACATTATGTATTCTAAATTGTACCAGATCCTAAACAACGCATCTAAAACTGCTGAGTAGGTTTAAATGTAATATGTACATGGAGATTACATCCAGATGATATATTTCATAGACCTATGCTAAAAAAATACATTATTTTGAACCACACCACCGGCCCTCTCCCTTCCCCTTTTCCCAGTGGAAGCTTTCCACCAGCTCCCAGTCTGCTTTATGCAGACTCCGAACAGACCCCAGTCTGTGGAGAAAGCCAGAAACAGACTTTCCTCCTGCAGCTGGACGATACCTGTGGTGCCATTCAAACTTCAGTATTTTATTTGCTACATAACTAGAGGCCTGCCTACGACATCCCGTGTCTTCCCATGCGCGTTCTTCCCGGCTGGGCACTTTCCCCTTCAGCCGCCAGCGGCTCCCGGGCGCATTCCCGGGCGGCCCAGCCGCGGCCGGCGCTGCAGCGGTGCGGGAGGCCCACAGGCGGCGATGTGGCCAACGCGCACCGGGGCGGCGGCGCCCGGGGCCAGCGCGGCCCGGCCCGGCCCGGCCCGGCGGGGGGAGCCGCCCGCCCCCGCCGCACCAGTGCCCTTGCTGGTCCGCGCGTGACGCCGGCCCCAGCGCCGCGCCCCTCCGCGCGCGCGGGGCCGCCGCCAGGATGAGGGTGTGGAAGCCTCCTCGTCGCCTCGGGCGACGGAGGGGCGGTGGGCGCACGCGAGCTCGTCGCTCCGTCACGCTGCCATCACTAGGTATTTATTTGACAGCAGCAATTAGCCGTGCCCTCTCCCGGGGCGCGGGTCAGCGCCGGCCCGGCCGCGCGTGGCCGCGGCGGCCCCTGATCGGCCCGGCCCGCCTGTCCGCGCTGCAGCGGCCGCTGCTCTGCGTCAGCGGCCGGGAACCGAGAAACTCGCTCTCACGAAAGTTTCTCTGGTCTTTCGCAGCGCCGCGAGACCCGCCGCCGGCCGGGCTCCGCCGCCGCCGCGCGGGGGGCGGGACGCCGCGTGACAGGGAGGGCGTGCGCCCTGCGCGAGACAATGCCCGGCGGGAACCTACCCCCGCGGCTGGGCAGCTGCCCGGCGCGCGCAGAAGCTCGCGCTCATTGGGGCGCGCGTGCGGGCACCCTGCGCCGTTCGAGGGTCTGCAGGGCGCTGTGCTTTCGCTTCTCCTGGTGTTGGGCTTAGGCCTCAAAAACGTGCAATTAATACGCAGGGGTGGGCTTTTTTTTTTTTTTTTTTTTTTTCCAGTTTTAAGCGTCCCCACTGAACATTACTTCCCCCGATTTGCCGTCATCCTCGGGCTTCTTCCCCCGAAGCGCAGCCGCCTCTCCCGTGACGCGCCGCGCAGCCAACTGCCGGCCCGTTGCGGCGGTTGAACCCTTCCAAACCCCCGCGGGGTGCCCGTCGCCGCGGGCCGTACCCGGGCGCGGAGCCCCACGCACCGCTCCCCGACGGTTTCACCGGGGGAATTTTTAGAAGGCGGCGGCTCGGCACCGCCCCCCCGCACCCCGGGGCCGAGCCAGCCGCGTCCCTCGCGGCCTCCCGCCCAGCCCCGCCACGGGTCCGGGGCGCCAGCCCACCCCGCGGACGGGGGTGCGCGGCCCCGCGGGCAGGACGAGGCCGCAGGCACCGGGGGGCGCCGGGAGGGCGGCGAGGACCGGCTCCCGCCGCCCCGGGGCCGCGCCTCCCTCCGGCGCCTCCGCCCCGGCCCGGCGCGGGGGAAGCGCCCAGCCCCCGGGAAGGGCTCTGGCGGCCGCCGCCGCCCGCCCGGGCGGAGCGGAGTGGGCCCGCCCTCGGCGGCGGCCAGCGCGGGGGGCAGCCGGGACCGGCCCCTCCCCGCCAAGTTTCTCAACTGGTGGCCGGGAGCGGAGCGGGGCGGGCGGCGCCCAACGGCCGCGCGCGCGCCTCCCCTCAGTGCCCGGGCGGGCGGCGCGGCCACCGCTGCCCACCTGACTCCCTCCTTCCTCTCCATTCCCCTCCTCCTCCTCGTCCCCTCCCTTTCTCTCTCTTTTTTTTTTTTTTTTTTTTTTTTTTTTTTTTTTTTTTTTTTCCTTTCCTCCCCTTTCACTCATTCCTTTGTCTTCTCGGGGATTGGCAGGTTTTATTATTCCGCCTGAACAAGCCGGGGGCGGATTGGCTGCGGCGGGCTGACGGCGGAGCCGAGCCGGAGTGTAGTTGGGATTCTGCTCTGTCAGTAACACATGTGTGAGGGGCAGCGGGAGCACACGCACACGGACACACACACACGCACACGCACTCTCCCTCGCGCGCACACACACACACACGCACACGCGCGCTCGCGCAGGCAGAGGGGCCTCCTCCCGCGTCCTGCCAGCGCCGCCGCCGCAGGATCCCGGCAGCGGCCCCGCGCCCGGCCCCTCGCAAACTCGCCCGCTCTCGCCCTCTCTTCCGAGGCGCTTCGGCGGGCCGCGGCCGGCCGGCTCCGCTCCGCGGGAGGCTCGGGAGCCGCCGCAGCAGCCCAGAGAAGGGGGCGGAGGTGGGGGGGGCGGGGGGGAAGCGGTACAAAGTGAAGCCACATTGCCAAACTTACCCGGCGATTGCAGCAGCGAGCGGCGGCGGCGCCCTGCGTGTGCAGCTCAGCGGCAGGGACTGAGCTCTGCAGCTCCCCTCCCGGGAAGCGGGAGCTGGAGGAAGGACCCAGGCAGACGCCTCTCTCAGAAATAGCTATATTTTTCCAGCCTGGGCTGCTCCTTGCCGGGCGGGGGGCTCCCTCAAGCCAGAGAGAGGGCGAGCGCTGTGTTTGTTTCTTTGCAAGGAGAACCACCTCAGGCACCCCGAGCGACGTTGCTCCCCGGCCTTTTGCAATATAGAGGGGAAGCAGGTAAGAAGTGCCGGTCCTTACCCCTTCTTTTCCAGCCCCCGCGTGTGCGGTTGCATGCCCGCGCCCCTGCCCCGCCGCCGTCCCGCGCTGCCCGCCGCGGCGGAGAGGCGCGGGGGGAGCCGCGGGGCCCGGCATTGTCGCGGCCCCCGCGTACAAAGCCCGGCGGCGGCGGCGGCCGCTCGGGGCGGCTTCTCCTTCCCCCCTGCCCAGCTGCCGCCGGGAAGGGGGCTCTGCCTGCCTCGAATGTGAATGGAGGGGACGGGGGGGGGAGGGCTGGGGCACCCGCTTCCCCCGTAGTAAACAGTATTCTGAAACAGTGGCAGAAAAGATCAAAGTGAGCTCTCTATTTCTCTCCTCTCCAATTCCCTTCCTGCCCCCCACACGGTCTTTTGTTTCAATCCAGGAGAAATCCGGTGAATCACCTAATTAAAACCAAGACATGAATTAAGCATCCATTTTTGTACTACAAATTGCCAGCTCTCCGCTTGTCCCTCCCTTGGTCTCCATTAAAAAAACACCAGAGACGCTGTTAAAAGGGGGTGGGGGGGTGGGGGGGTGTATTTTGCCTCTAGCTTCCAGCTCTGCTTTCTATTTCACTGACTCCTATCCCAGGACCTAAATTGCTTGGCTGTGTAATTACTAGAGTAAGCCTATTTAAGTTAAAAGCTTTTTTCCCCCCAACTCTAAATGAAACTTGATGAGGGCCCGTCCTTAGTTATCAAGGGAGTCACTTTCTGGTCAGTCCTCTTGATTCATCTTTTTAGATTTAATCAGCATTAAGGTATTGCTTGTCCTTAAGAGCTTTAGCTTAATGGGGTTACTGGATGGTTTTCTCAGTGTAACGTTTCCCATTTTATATTTATATATATTTGCCTTCGACAAAGACGGGCAGAGGTGGTGGCGTGGAGTCTTTTCCTTTCTTTTAAGAAATCTGAAGTGATTTAAAGCGTAGGGAAACGGTTTAAAGACTCGGAGCAGGAAATGCAGATTCATTTAGGCTGTAGCTGGAAACTGTAACAAAAGGCAATTCCTTGAACAAATGCATCAGAAATCAATTTACATAAAGGTATATGATGCGTTCGGATAAATGCAATGCTAATGGCTTTTAGAGTGGTTTTCTTTCCAAAGTCTCGGGGTTTTTGTTACAGCTTAATTGGTGCAGTTCTTCTGGTTTATTGTGCGGTCACTGGACATACCTCCAGGTACTCTTTCTGAGGAAATGTGTGTTTAAAATCGGCCTCAGTTCGCCTCCTCCTGCAGTCGAGTTGGGCCAGTGGCAGGAAAAGTTCGTCCTCGCTGCTCTGGAGGTATCAGTCAGAAGGGCCGTAGCAGATAGCCAGATGCCTCGGCATGAGCACGTACGGCTTACAGAGGACAAAGACAAAAACATGCTGCTTAATTGGCAGTAAATAACTTGATCTTTTTATAGTGTAAGTGACTAGAGGAACACCGGGAGTTTATTGGACTCTGCATTGAAGGCAGCAAATTAATCGGTTTAGAGTAAGCTTTATGAATTGATTCCTATATTCTCTCTCGGTTGTCCTGCTTGCGTAAAGCGTTTATTGGAAAGTGAAAAATGCCCTCGGTAGCAGTTTTGGGGGCGGCCAGAGTAACTCCAGCCAGAGCGGTGCACTTCATTAGGCTGCTGCTTTCCTATGGTCGCTAAACTTTTTTTTTTTTTTTTTTGAGTAACAAAGCTTTAGCATTTAAACTACTGATCAAGGCCAGATTAGCGAGACAAAAGTTGAGTATGTTTGTGTAGGAAGTTAACAGGCGTCCTAAAGTTCAATGATCTATTATTCGGGCCAGTGTCCTCAGTCTGGAGTGTTTTCTCTGGGTGTTCTTATGTCTCCAAAATAAAAAAAAAAAAAAAAAAAACAAAAAAAACCAAAAAAACAAAACCAAACCTCCCGAGGTCTGGACGGCCGGTCCCGAGCCCCTCGCTACCGCCCCGAGCCCGCAGAGCCTCTCCTAGACTGAAAAACCAGTTTCACAACTTTTCTTCTTTTTTTTTTTTTTTTTTCACTCTTCACACACTTTTTTTTTTTTTTTTTTTTTTTTTTCCATAAGCAAAACAAACCCCGGGACTGTTCCTGACTTGCGAGCTGCAGCTGCAGCAGCCCGGAGCGGGGCGGGGGGGCAGCGGGACGCGCTCTTCGTGCCCCCCACGCCCGCCGGTCCCCGCCAGCTGCGCGCCCGCGGGCCTGCCCGGTGCCCCTCCCCCCCCCCCCCCCCGGGCCCGGCGCCCCCCCGGGAGCGGGGAGCGCCCCGGCCCCCCCTGACCGGCCGCCCCTCTCCCCGCGCAGGCCATGGTGAACCCCGGCGGCAGCTCGCAGCCGCCCCCCGTGACGGCGGGCTCCCTCTCGTGGAAGAGGTGCGCCGGCTGCGGGGGGAAGATCGCCGACCGGTTCCTGCTCTACGCCATGGACAGCTACTGGCACAGCCGCTGCCTCAAGTGCTCCTGCTGCCAGGCCCAGCTGGGGGACATCGGCACCTCCTGCTACACCAAGAGCGGCATGATCCTCTGCAGAAACGACTACATCAGGTGAGGCACCGGCCGGCAGGCTGCCTTCCCGCTCTCTCCCTGCCTTCCCCCCTCCTTTTTTTTTATATATATATGGTTTTTTTTCTTATTCTCCCCCCTTTATTGCTGGCGGTGGGTGCCCGCGGGGCGCAGGGGTGGGCTGGCTCCGGATCGCTCCTTTATTAGGCGCGGGGAGACGTGCGGGTGCGGATGTCAGCGCCTAGCCCAGGGCGCAGTTGCGACTGCCAAGTGGAGGGAAGAGTTGTTGGGGGCGGGGGGGGGGGGGGGGGGGAGCAGAACGACGACTGTAACTTTAAAGTGGTTTGTCAGCACAAAACAAGTCCTAACTAAAAATAAACAGCAATCAGAGAGGCTAAATTAATCTGCTTTGTTGTAGTGTTGAAGGAGAAGTGTGCATATTTGAACGGTAAATGTTAAAATCGTAGGGCTTAAATAAGGCTGTGGCAGAGGTGCTAAATAATGAAATGCCTGCCTTTAGTATCTGATTAATTATTATATTTACATAAGCACCTTTAAACTCCTTTGAGTGGAAACAGAATGACTCATTCTCTGTTCTCCTTGTGAAAGAGCTGATTAACCGTCAGTTGGAGGGCCACCGCTTCTACTTATAGCCCAAAACATGCTATAGTGCTTGTCTTCACATTGTTACAGAGAAGCCTTGAACCGACATTTTTCTTAACTTCCAGCCTAGAAAATGTAGGGGGTAGGAGAGGAAGGATATGCTCTTGCCCTTTATTTTTTATCTCTTTCTTTTTTGAAGCTCTTTGCTTTAAAGCCACAGATTTGGGTAGGGGCAACTAAGCCTTATTAATCTCGCATCTGTTGGGGTACAGTAAGATTACGCAGAGTATCCCTTCCAATGAGTTTCCAATATAATTAATAGAAAGAATTCCTGAGGTCAGGTGCCTGTACGATCTTTCCAGGTAAACTCCAGCTACTTAAACTCATTAATTTAAAAGGAGGCATTTTGAAGGATTACACATTTAATTTGAGTAAATGGTTTGATAGACTGATGCACATGAATGCTTCAAGGAGGTGTTCTATTTCAACATTCAGTAATTAAAAAAACAAAAAAGCCCCATACCTTCCCGGCATAACAGAAATGCTTAGTTAAAACAAATTGTGTTTTGTTTAAATGCTTCTAGCTTCTCATTTACAGTAAATGTCAAGAGTTAACCCAGGTTTTTCCTTCTCCCTGATGGCCAAAAAGTTCCACTTTTTTCTTCCTTTCTGAAAAAAAGAAAAGAAAAAAAAATCAGCCACCAAATGTTACAAGTTTGCTTATGTTGTAAAACTTGCCTTCTATTTAAACAGATCAGGACCGTAGTGAGTGTGTGTATATGCATGGAGACCCCCCGAGTCTAAAAGGACGGAGTTAAGACTTGGTTACTCTGACAGTGCAGCCTCTGCCCTGATACGTGGCTGCATCTTTGGTCGGTTCAGTAGATGAAACGCAGCCCTTGGCAGCTTTGAGGAATCAGAGCCTCAGCTTTGCTAGTTTTTGGGGTACTTTTAGAGAGAAGTACTACAAAATCAGCACATGGGGGTCTTTAATGGTGCTTTTCGGTCATCATCCTAAGCAACAAGCCTAAGCCTGGCAGAGCTGTAATTAAATAGAGCAGAACGGTGTTAGGGAAAGAGCCTCGTTTGAAGTGGAAAAATTGACACTACTGTTAAGATGCACTGAATAGTACAGATTCATCACTTGACCAACACCATCAAACAAACCCTCATGTCTGATTACTACTAATTAAAGAGAGAAGATGCGTCCACTGTGTCCCAGAGGCGAGTTCAGGCAAGCTTATCGCAGTCCTCTGGTTTTGTGTTGCCAAAAATTAATACTCGTTTATTTTAATGTAGGCGATTATGAATAGGATGCTTTATCAGATGAGGGGTTTGAATTGATCTCCTTGTTCTGTCGCCTGACTTCTCTTTAGATCTGTGTAATTTGACTTGCAAAAATAACTCTGACAGATGCTTGCTGAAACTTGAACTGGACACCGTACACTCAAGGTGGGGTAGGACGGCCTGGCCCTGCCAGGGCCGAGTTAACTTGGAGCTTTCCTGCTGGAAACGGACTTGCAGGGGCGCTCAGGGTGGTGCTGGCAGGAGCGCGGCCCTCGCCCTCTTGGTGCTTGAAATGGCCTCTCCCGGTGGTGGAGGCCGTGCCACCCCTCCGGCAGCCAGTCTCTCCGGTTCCCCTCTGCCCTCCTCCCCGCTCTGAATTTTCTGTAGGGCGTTTGTGGCGGCACAGACCCCTCCCCAGGCGGGCGCTGCGGGCCCAGGTCCGCGCTGGAGGCGCGGGGTGCGCCAGGCACGGCTGACAAAATGAGAGAGAGGGTTGATGGGCCCGGCAGGCGCCAGGTGAAAGGGACTCGACTCCTTCGGGCCAAGACCACGAGGCCGTTTATTAATGAGCTTCGGAACCCTCTGAGGTCGTCTGTGGGTTTTTGTTGTTTAAACAGCACAACGCTCCCCCTCTCCCTCCCTGCCCCCCCCCCCAAAACCCTACGACAAATTAGCCGTAGAGCTCCGGCAGCAGCTTTCGTTGAAAGCCAAGGTTCCTGGGAAAAGAGAGGGAGGCGAAAATCCCAGAGCCTTCCCCTCCCGCCGCCCGGCGAACGGGGCGCGGAGCGGCGCGCAGCCCTCCCAACCTTAAGATGCCAGATAAAGCAGCAGCGTGGCAGCGAAGCCGCACAATTAAAAGCTTTAATTAGTGTCTCCTCCATTTTCTCTTAGTTCTGATAGGTTTTATCTAATGAGATCTGGTCCCTGGCTTAGATCTGCTCGGAATGACGTGTCCGAAATGAATGAGAGCCGCGTCGCAAACAAAACATTTAATTAACAAAATTGGCCTCTAAGAGCGAGCAGGGAGTGGTGGGGAAGGGGAAGCGGGGGGGGGGGGGGGGGCTGCCCAGGCGCGCCTTAAAGGGGCAGCGCCCGCCGCCCCTACCCTCCCCGGGCGCCCGCTCCGCGCAGCGCGGCGTGGGCGCAGCCCGCCCGGCCCCTCCAGCGCGGGGTGCGTGGGGCCGCGCCGGACCCGCCCGCAGCCGCAGTGTGCGCCGCGCCGCGCCACGCCACGCGGGGGAGGGAGGGGGCCGCCCGGCAGCGAGTTCATTTCCCTGGTAATCAGCGGCAAGCTGCTATATTCAGGGAATGCTGTCCCTTTAATTGAACAGGCTAGGTAATTAAATGGCACTTTTCCAATAGGACGTGCTAGGTAAATCTAATAGTTGGTTATTTAATATCACTTTGAAGTCTGCCCACTCAAGCACAATGACAGCACAGGAGCATGTGAACTATTAGCTAGGAAAAAAAAAAAAAAAAAAAACAGGATCTCAAAAATTAATTAAATCGCATGCAATTTAGGGGGAACGTTTATCTTGATTTGTCATAACAGAATTAATTCAAGGCCTCCAATTCACTTGGGGGCAGATCTGTTACTCTGAATTAACCAAGCGTAATTTGGCTGTGTGTTTTTTTTTTTTTTTTTTTTTTCTTTCTCTTCCCTCCTTCCCCTTCTCTAATGCAGCACTTGCCATTATGCACAGCCCCCCTTTTAAGTATCAATAGCTTCTGGTGCTTTTAAGGTGCTTGGTCTCTAGTTATTCTGAAGTACCTTTAATGGACTTGGCTCCAGGCGTAATTTCTGGGTTGCCTTTCTTTGTTACATTTAATATAGCTGGTGCAGAATTTAGATTAAATATAGGGAATGTACAGAAACACCAATCGCTTCTGGATCAGTAGGTCTGGATGTGCATTTCTCTTTGCTAGGGCTTGGAGATATATTTGTGTGCACCGTGTTGTGCAAGAATCGGAGCACTTAAATTTGTCTCCACAATTTTGGAAACAACTGGAACCTTATTTTGTTAGGCTAAGTTGCTAGAGATGTGTTTCTGCTGATACTGAATTTTGAGCAGCAAGATGGGAAACTGGGCTGAAAAGATTTCTTGCTGCCTTCATTCCCACTCTTGTGAAAGAAAGTTCTGAGGAAAAAAAAAACCAAAACAAACAAACAAACAAAAAAAAACCAACCCAGGAGCGTTTGTGCGTTTGGGGGTGTGGGGAATGCTGTGTTAGAACCACACAGTAGTTAATTTAAGGTGGCTCAGTAAAATGCTGCTAAGTGTAGAAGAGCTGCCTTGTCTGTATAGGGAACCTCTTGATGTTTGTGATTGATTGCATTGCCCAAATGTTGAAATATTAATGACCTTCTTGGACTGAGGACCCAAAGAGGAAACTGAAACCAATTCTGTCATCACAATTAAAGAGTCCCCTGGCTTTAATTAGCCTGACCTGGGGTATCTCTACCCATTGCTGCAGTTAAAGAGAAAAGAGCCCATTAAAGTCCAGTCTGAGACCGATAGCTACTTAATTGAGCACCTAAAGCCTCAAGCCTTTTAAATCAAATACTGTCCTGGACAGTCCCCCTGGTTAGATAATTAGCTCTCCAGCCTCTCAGAAACCATGTGAAACAACTTTTTCAGTAAAGAATAGTTACTGTGGAACACTTCCTTTACTGGTAAGGAGGAATAACATTTTTTTTTTTTTAAAGATAAAACCTTTTTCCTGTTAAGGGTATTTCAGAACAAAACCATTCATAACAGTGGAGAAGGAAAAATAAGCTTAATTTTCCTGGTAAATAATACAAAGCTGTGGAAAGGTGTTCTGACTTTGCAAGTAAGTAGTTTTTAGGAATTTTAGCAGAGGATTCAGCTGAAGTGACTTCCCAAACCAGAACTGTTCGGGGAACGCGCTCGGGGAAAACCTAAGATGTGCGGAAAGCCTCTGGATTCGTTTTGACTCCATTTATTAGAATTCACAGACATTCAAGGTGTACAACCACTTCTAGTCAGAGAACTGTGTAACAAATGAATGCTTAATGAAGACAAGTAGTGCAACGAGCTCAGGCTTCTGAGAGCTGTGTTTTCGGTTGGGTGGTGCAATTGTTCTGCTCGCGAGGTTCGGGTTCTCCCGCACAAGGAACGTTGCCCGTTCATCTTTGCTTTTCTTCCTCCACCCTACCCAGCAATGCCCTTGTCGCCACCCCCCCCTACCCTAGATTTTTGGATCTTCGCTCTAGAAATGTAACAGTGCCTCCTCTTGCAGCGCTCCCTATGTACACCCCTTCTACGTGCCAACTTCATTACTTGTAACAATGGAGGGAGAAAAATGCATATCGTAAAGCTTTGAAAGTAACCTCAATACATCATGTAACTGCTCGGAACTGGTCCTGATTTAGAAGATGCCCTAATAATGGACCCTTAGTTTCCAGACAGTTTAGTCCCTTTGGCTGGAGGTCCTGACAATGTATTAGTTCAGCTTTCCCTTTGTAGCCACTGTGATTCTGCAAGAACGTGTCAATGTGTCGTGGATCTCAGACTAATTAGTTTTGAAATGGAGTTTTGATTGAACTCTTCAAATCGATGCTGCTGCAAAATTTGTTTCTCAGCTTCCTATTAAAAGCCATCTTAAGGGGCAGTTTTACTACTCTCTCTGTCGTTCAGTCGATACATTTAATAACAACTTACAGGCTATTTTCAATAAAGTGGCGACAGCAAATTAGTAGTTTGAACATGACAAGCCTCCTCTGCAAGCTCAGATTCTGAAAATTCAAAGCAATTATTTTTATACAGAGGCACACTGCAATCATTCAGATTACGGGTATTCTGTTGTAATGCGTCTCCTAGGTTGACACAAACAGAATTTTATGACTTTATTTGGACAGGAAGGAGATGCAAATATTAATATTTATTATGACACCAATACGCTAATTTGTAAATCCTATTACTATGTTTTACATCGTGCAGAAAAGTGGGTCTGTGACCCTGCCAGCTAGTTCAGTTTCCTTTTTTACTGCAAAATGATTGTGGTAGTCTTTATAAATATTTGTGTATATTAGAGAGGCGCGCAAAAGCAAATAAAGGTTTTCTAATTCTAGCTAACGCAGCTCGTAAAAGTAGAACTCAATAATCATTATTGTATTATATTTTGGATCGATGTGTTGTGCCTTTAAATGGATTTGAAGAATTATGTATATATTTTTCTTCACCACTCTTCTGCCTGTTCCCCCCCTCCCCCCCACTGCGTGTGCCCCCCCCCAATGGCAGATGTTGTGGTCTCATTTGATTGCATAGGAAAACTGCAGTGATACAGCAAACACCCAGAGAGATATGATGACAAATGGGTCCAGATCCCGGTAAATTACTTTCTGCTCAAATCGAAATTTCATTCAGTTTGTTGCTAGCAGAGATGAAGTAATCTAAATTGTGGACTCAGGAGCAGATAGAGGGAAGTTGGAGCAAGCATTTCATTATCAAGAGAGAGAGAAGGTTAGGATGAAAGAGATGAGCAGAGGCAAATCTAAAGTGTTGACACCATGATTGAAAAGGTTAACCCATACACATTATATATCAACCTGGATAGCAGAGAGTTTCTAATGGAAACTCTGCACTGATGGAGGTTTACTGGAGTTTCAATACACTGAGCATGATGTCTTCTTAGATATACAATCAAATCCTCTTAACCCTTTTGATGACTCATATCTCAAGATATGATTAAAGTACAAAAGAGTTCTTCATATAATTTCAAGGACACAATGCATTTAAACTCCAGTCATGAATTGTATCTTTTTTTTTTTATGATGAACCCAGTAATCTGATAAAATGTGTGTAGTACAGAATTGTTTGTGTTTCTAGAGGTGTAAGTCAATATTTCTGATTAAATCCTGTGTAACCACATCCAAGGTAGGGTGAAGCTACCAGTTGTTACACAAAAATACGCTTTTTCATATTATGACATGTAAGCAAGTTGGAAGACGGGGGTCAGAAGTCTAAAATAGTTGTGTAATAAACCATTGCAGTGATGCGCAAAAATGCTTAGAGCCTCCTGTGTATTAAATTATTCATGATCATCACCTCTGTTTCAGGTTATTTGGAAATAGTGGTGCTTGCAGTGCCTGTGGACAGTCCATTCCTGCTAGTGAGCTGGTCATGAGGGCACAGGGCAATGTCTATCATCTTAAGGTGAGGCTTTTTTTTCTCTGTTGGGTTTTGTTTTTTTTTTTTTTTTAGTAGCCGATTAGTACTGCTGTGCTGCTTTAGTATAAAATCTGCATCTGCTTATGAATGAAATGCAAAGCAATAACTAGAAATACGAGTATATATTATAAAGCTTCCCTTAGTGTGTAGCTTTGTTCCCTCGTAATCGGTAAAACTGTGCTTGAGTTATGTACAGCGTAGTCCCAACAGGTAAGACTAATGCCATATTTGGAGATACTAGAAACCGAGCAGCTCCATATCTCAACTGTACTTGCAGTCTCTGAAGTGTAATTTTCAAACCTGCAGCATACTTAATTTGTGCTGTAGTTTCACTTGCTGTCTCTTTCCTTTTTCAGTGTTTTACATGCTCTACCTGCCGGAATCGCCTTGTCCCCGGAGATCGGTTTCACTACATCAATGGCAGTTTATTTTGTGAACATGATAGACCTACAGCTCTCATCAATGGCCATTTGAATTCACTTCAGAGTAATCCACTACTGCCAGACCAGAAGGTGAATACTCAACAATTACTAATAAGCTTTATTAGAGCTAAATGAAGATCAATTTCTTTTCATTCTGATAGTGGACATTCCCCACCCCTGCAAGGAGACCTTTAAGTAACTGAATTTACCTTAAATAACTTAGGCATGGGCTATGGGGAGAAAATACTAACCTTTTAAATATGACATATAGGGTGAGTCAGTTTATTTTGGCTTGGGCATGTGCGTCTGTACAGTTGTTGAACTCCTTATGTGTAAAGCAAGATGGAGAGCATGCGTTAATATAAACTCTTAACAAAGTATTTTTCTTTATAATCTTGAAATTAAGGGCTACAAGAGAGCAGGTTGCCGTGGGAGGAAAATTAGATCCTTTAATATGGAAATAAATGTCTTGTGAAAAGAAGGTTCCTGAACTAAACCAATGTATTTCACTTTAATATTAAGGTTTTAGTCGAGGAAGCATGCTGGGGTACTCTTTCAGAAGTATTTTTTCGTCTGTTTTGTATGTCATAACTCAGATTTAAAAACCAAAGTGCTATTTTCTTATCGCTCCATAACACTAATAGCTCAACCAGAGATTGTATATCTCTGTGGCTGATAGCTCTTGGTTTCTAGCTAAATGAGTAAATAATGACTGTACAAGTCATATAGAGAAGAAGAAAAAAATTTCTGATCAACAGTTGTCCTGTAACTCTGAAACTAGATAGTTTTAGATCTATTTTAATCTCCTTAATAAGTCCTAAAGCTATGCAAGTGAGTGCATTTTGATAACTGCTGTGCCTAATTTGTAACAATTACTGTCAACCTTGAGTTAAGAGACTGTTCATTCCACCCTGGTCCAGAAAAGAGTGAATGTATGACTCTTGCACATAATTTTATTCACATCATATTTCATACTGATTATGTATTGATGACATTGATTCATTTACTCTTTACAGCGCCACTTGCATGGATATTAAATCTTATTGACCACAGATGAATTTTAATTTCAGATTGGTGATAGATTTTTCCATCAGCTCTGATAGTATATTTGACTTTTTCATCATTAACCCAGGCAATCACACAGCAGTGAGTTATTGCAATGAAACAAAAAGTGCACACTTCACTTGGTAATTCTTTATAGATTTACAATAGGAACTTCATTAATGTCTGTAAGGATCACAAAAAATAACATTTATCTGCAAATAGGAATTTGGAAGATTAAAGAAATCTGGGACAAATGCTAGGCTGATCTATTCTGCAATGTACAGAATATTTTTTTAGTGCTTTTACTTAGTGGAGAAATACGTCTGGAGGAATCACAAACTGGTTTTTAATTTCCATGATTTTTTTTTTTGTTGTGTTGCTACATTTCAATATCTGTGTTTGCTTTTTTTTCTGTGCATAAATTTACTGATTAAGTATTCTTTCAAGTCTTATACAGTGAATATAATTACATCAAAATACAACACGGACCTTTTTTATTTACTTAATTTGTCAATTGAGGTGATGAGAGAGTTGAGTAAAAAAGTCCTATATAGTTAGGCAGAACAAAGATAATTAAGATTGGAGGAGAATGTGCAGCCTTTTCTCAGGGAAGTACAAATACAGTTAAAGATTCATAGATTTATACTGTTGTGAATTTTAATGAAACAAATCCGTAATACAGACTAGCTAGCAGTGAATCTGTTAAATGAGTATTTGTAGGTATCCCATTTCAAAATATAGGTAAAACCATTCATCTTTACACACTGCAGTAAAAGGTTTACCATTCTGAGAGAGTGGTTTATCCACTTGTCTTCTACGAATGTAAAGTTTAATGTAACTTCAAATAGGTGTCTAAATTGTCATTTACTTTTATCAGTTTCTTACTATGCCTTAGCAAAACATAAAAGTGATTTAGTCGCAATAAAAGCAGCAGACATGATGAGGAACATAGAACATGGAAAAGAGAAGTAAAATTGGACTGGGCTTGCAGAGCTCACGACTGTAGACACCTGGTAGAAGCTAAATGCAGAGCAAATAGTGAGAACAGGTTTTTATTAGTTCCTGTCACTGACTGTTAACTGCATTGCTACAGTCAGTGATGAGGCAGATGAAGGGGTATTAGGGAAAAGATTGGGGGAGGGATTCTAGTTTGGGGATTTTTTTCTTTATAATGCCATCTCTCTAGAAAATACGGTGTAAGTTCTCCTACCTGTTTTCAAAGGCGAGTTGCTGAGCACCTGAACTCCAGAAAACTGAACCACAGTTGAGAAGACAAGGTGATAATTCATAAATTTGTCAGATTTCTGGAGTTTTGGAAGCTACAGGGGCGGGTGCCTAAAGAGTTGTTTTGTAGGTTGGCTTTTTAACAGTCTAGAGAGATGTTTCCCAGACAACTGTGTGTGTGTTAGGGCCGCTAATTAAACATGTTCTTCCACTATGACAGTTGGCTGTAAGAGATACTTTTTACTAAACATTAAAGATCAATCAGTTTCCAAGTCATTCTACTGCTAGAGATTATAGACATAGCCGAATATTCACAGGATTTTGTATTAAATTGAAGGGATTGAGACACATTCCCAGCATTAAACCACATTTTTGTTGCTTGTATGAACTCACAACTGTCTTTAAATATAGTTTCCAGGTGAATACCTGTTGGTGATTGGTGCAGGCAGAAAGGGTTGCGTGACCTCACTTTGTTTAAAAACTTGCTTTTCTCTTTAAGGAGGCAGATGCACTTGATGTTGGCTATTCCTGCCTTCTGCCTCCCCGAGGCAATTCACACATGTAAATTACGACTTCCTATCCCATGCTATGTAGTTTGAAAAGAAACCTGTTTAGAGAAAACTCAGTACTGCTCGCTGGCAAAGCGCAAACTCTTAGTTTGTGATGTCGTGTGTGCTGTTTCATTTGAAGAGGCTGTATTATTAAGAATTCTTTATGCTTTTTTGGTAGTGGTAGAATTCCTGTGGTATCTCTCGGTTGCAATAGTATTACCATCTACTAAAAGTGTGATTTTTCCACCATTTGGCAATGTTCGTAGCAAACGGTCATCTTCAGCTCCTGGACTTTTAAATAAAGTATGAGTTAGATGATGTCTCTCAGAGAAGATCTTAAAAATCTTCTAGTTTACATATCACTCAACAATTCCCTTGCAGTTACATAATTGGTGTTGTCTGTGTCCATAGTAGAAGATATTTGATGCTCATTTATTAAATATGCTTGCTGGCTGCTCCCTAATCTTTGTTCTGGACAGACAAATTACCTTTCTCACACTGAGCTTCAGCTCAGGGGAATTAAACCTCCAAGCCTCTACTACTTTAATTAGCTTGAAAGTGGGGGGTTGCAGTTACTAATAGACCTCAGGCTTTTAGTAACTTGGAGAAAGGGTGAAAAAAGAACTTCCTGGGAAGCGCAAAATGTCATTTAAAAACCATAAAAATCTAATACATATTATTTCATTTTGGTAATTGCAAACAGATTGTAGTTGAAGACTATGGATGATCATTTCTATTTTATCCATGAAAGTTTAGATTTTTATTGAGTTAGACACTCTTAATTATCACAATTCATTAACACCAGTGTGAAAGCACATGTTTGACTTCATATATTAAAATGTTTATGTAACATTAACTAACACACCAGATGAGGAATTTTAAATGGGGGGGGGGGGGGGGGGGGGGGGGAAATCCTGAAATACCTATATTTAGCTCTTGTGCAATGCAGCATATTAACCAAAGTTGCCTTGGGAGGATATTGGCTGTACTTCTTATTTGCTTTACACACTATTTCTTCCAATTATAAGATCATATTACTAGCTTCTTCAAAGGCATGGCATAATGTTTCTTCCCTTTTAAAAGGGGCCCAGAAGAACCACCTTATTCACTGTACGATTTGTTACCAGAAAGTACACTTATTTATTGTTGTCTCTTTTTTTTTTTTTCTTTTCTTTTTTTTTTTTCCCTTCCCTGTCTGCTCTTTTTAGTAGTGATACTGCAGAAAATGTTTGCTTTTTGCTGTTTGAAATTGAAACGTTAGCAGTATGAATAGATAGTGTAGAAAACCTTAATCAAGTCACAGTTGGAAAGTAATCTAATAAAAAAGAGATTAGTGAATAAGGAAAAGACAAAAGCAGTCATGTTGTAGTTTCCTATCTCAAATTTAGTATTCTAGCTAAGATGATACCCATTTTTATTTCTTACAGGTCTGCTAAAAGGTCAGAGTAATGCAGAATGCGTGCCTTCATCTCAAATTTTGTTCATCACAGATGGATCCCATGTCTCCAAGTAGACAAGTCACCTTTGTAGCTAGCATCAATGCCAGCTCCATACCATTGCACCTTCTTTATTCTTGATTGCCCTTCCCACATTTATTGGTGTATTAAAATGACTGAATATGAGCATTAAGGACTCCATGAACCTGGGCTAATGGGAGACTGTAGAGAAAATGAAAAAAGATCCACCGGAGGACATCTTGGGGGGGGGGGGGGGGGAGCGGGTGGGGAAGATGACTAATGAAGCTAATTAAAAGAAGCATTGAAATCTGCTTTCTACCCTCATTAACAATTAGCAGGGCACTGGCCAGTTTGTACCCTGTGTTTTACCTTAACAACATTCTATTTGCTCTTTGTATATTTAAGTGTTGTAAGGAAATGTGTTTCAATCAAACTGAACATGAGATAAAGATGTGGCTTTTGTGATATTCTATCACAAACACTTTTATTGTATCTCTGTAAAATACAATGTATGTATGCATGTAAGTGTTTTTGTCCTAATGTTGCTACTTCCCATGGCAAAAAAAAAAAAAATATCAGGCTCATAGCAGCTACTGTGTAGAAATTTTCACCTACTTCTAATTTGCTGAATGAAGAAAAATCTTTTATTTGTGATATTTTCAGAGACATTTGCTCTAGTATGGTGTATTTAAATAATAAAAAAGTAAAACAACACTGAATTGAGTATGGGTTTTAGAAGCTTTGCTTTTTTTTTAAGAAAAAACCAGCCTACATTCTGAAACTACATTTTCCGTAGTCATTACCTTAATTGTCAGTTACCTTTAAAACTAGCTTTTTGGTTTGGTCGTTTTTTTTTGTCTTACGCCACTAAAGAATCTGTTAAACTACTTAACTCTGTTACTTGTGACAAGGATAACAGAGCACTACCTCAAAGTTATATTTTATTTTTCATTGAGATTCTTAATTCTGGTGACAGCAAGTATATTATAATTCATATTGCAGTGAATTATGGCACACATATAGGTACTGTGGTCTCTTCCTATCCAGCTCCTTTCCGCCGAATCATCTGTGTTAAGGGTGTGCATGTGTCTGTGAGCGCGCAAGCATGAGAGTATATGTATATACTAAAAAAGGTCAAAGAATAATAAAATAAAAAACAACAAAAGGTCTGTACCTCATGCTGAGCACTAGAATTGGGTATTCATAAAAAGAAATACAATAGCTATTCTGATCTGAACAACATAAAGTTGTGTTTGCTGTGTTAAGAGACTAACTTTTCAACACTGATAATCTTAAGGAAAGAAAAACGTGTTTCCCGGGCTATTTCCGAAAATGAACTAATCTCAAATATGATCTGTTCTCTGAAAGCAAACAGACAAAAAATACACACACACACAACCCCTCACCCCCAAGCAACAAAGCCTCTTCTAAGCTTAGGAAAGGAGCAACTTCATTTAGTGGGTTTTTCCAATCAGCTGCTCGGTGGTAGAGCTGTGCAGAATAATTTTGAGAAAAAAATCTGGCTTTTCATGTTCGTAGCAAGAATACTAACATGCATCTGTGGCTGTGCATTTTATGGCTTCAGTCAGGAAACTGCAAGCACTTAGAATGTGCCTCTGCCACAATTAATAACAAATCAATATTAACAACTACTTTACTTTTATAAGAGGCTAATATATTTGAAATACATAGTGATTATATTCTTTAATTCTGTTTTTGAGATAGGTGTTCACTGTTCAGTGTGCTTGGTTACGGAGTGGACTTGACTTATTTTTGTTGTGATGCCGATATACAAAAAGCTGATTTATAGATTTGTCTGTTTAAACAACCAACAGCAGATTTTTTTTTTTTCAGGTTCTACTTCTTGACCTCTAGTATATTGGCGGTCTGCTGAATTTCTTCTAACATTTCAGTGCTTGAGGAAAAATAGGACTGTCGCAGAGAAAAGAAAATACCGTAGTGTACAGTATCAGACAGTAAAGACAAAAGAATACTTGCATAACATATAAAGCATAAAATGACTGAGGCTATGTGTGACTTTTTAATTAAAAATGCATTTACATCTTTTTAAAATAATTATTTAAGCTTTTTTAACTGGCATTAAGGTCTTTAGGTAGAGTCCTGCAAATTATGCTGCTTTGAAAAGACACTTGAAGTCACCTGAATACAGAATTCAAGTATTAGTGAGACTGTAGACATTTTTTTTTATACTCTTTCAGTATAAGCACTCAAGATACAGTGTTTAAATCGAACATACAGATTTTTGGTTGTCCAATATAACACAGAAGTGCTAAGAAGATAGCTAATAACTTCCAGTAAGTAATGTAGTATAGCATTTAGTGATGTAGAGGTTGAAGTTCATTAACGGCTTTAAATAAACTATTATATGACTCGTTTGTAAAGCACAGCTACCTATTTAATAGCTTACTTTAAAAGCATTTCTGAAGTTGCAGACCTATAAGATTACAAATGTCACTCATGTTAGCATAATCCACATGCAAGTGATGAAGTCTTTGCTTTGATGTGCTAAATTGGAGGAGGACTAATGGAGCTATGAATATACAATAGAACATATTTAAGTAGTATTCTTGCTTTAGGAAAAACACTTTCTTGAAACCAGAGGCATTTCAGACAATAAAACAGGCTCTAATGGGGATGGTAGGTGTGGATAGAAGGCTACTGGAAACACTTAGCTTTGTCCTTATGTGAAAAAACACTTTTTTAGGAGGTCTGTAAGGAAAAACATGGACTTGTTCACCTTTTATCATATGCATTTGCTACACTGAGGCTGAAATACACCCTCTGCATTTAGTGCTGCTGGAAAGTCATACAAATAATCATTCAGTAAGAGCTTCCCTCACTTTCAAAAATGAATGCTGTTAAAAAAAAACAAAGGAAATATTACTAATCTGAAATCATCCTCGTGAACCTGGATAAAATGCTCTGTCTATACTGCATCTAAACGTCTCAATCATATAAATTGTCACTCTTATTAATGAAACAATTTTGTAAAAAGATTGCCCTCTAAATGGGTTTAATGTTTTTACCTATCCAGCTGTCTAGTTACGAGATTTACGCATCCTGGCAGGCAGTGGGACATTAAGCCTTTCCAAACCAAATTCTGTTTGCAACAAGATACTGTCTTTTCAGTCCTACATGATTTATCTTTAAATATTTTAACAGGTTATGCAGTATCTTATGAAATATAAAATGAGAATGTCTTACCAAAATGAAGCCTATGAAATTAAGTCACATCTGTAGAATATTAACCACACTGAGCTTGTTTCCCTTTTCCCCTGCTAGTTAACAATGATAAAATTTGCATTATATAATTTTAGTGTAAATACTAAAAAAAACCCAAAACCAAACACATCCTGGCATAGTATGACTTGGTATCAGTACCACCATGCATTTCAAAAGATTTTAATTTTTTTCTCAAATTCTTTACCTGGTAGTTATATGTCAAGTATGAGGCTTCTTGCAAGGTTCTATGTTCTGAACTGCTCTATTAAAATAAAAAAAAAAAAATTCAGATGAGAACAGTTATGTGTGTATTTACATATATTTTTAAGTATTTTGTTTCTTCGGTATGAAATTAGGTGTTCCAGGTCTGATTTCACGGCCTGAGCCTCCTGTACATGAAGTACCAGATAACCATTGTCGCTGCTTGTTACTTTTCGTGCCAGGTGTATGCCTATTGTCAGTCCACCTAAGCCACAGAAGAGCTTACTGCAATTAAATAGCAATTTGTTTCTATGAAACTGCAATTAAAGTATTACTGATCAGCCATTTTAGATTGGCAGTGCTTTGACTGCATGTTAAATAGTGAGGAGCTCTCGATTTAGTTCTGCAGTATGAGCTGTGAGTAACAGTGAAGTGTAACATGCTCACCTATGTCCCTTGTCAAGTTGAAAGTATGAGTCTTCCGTGAAGCACTCTGATCTCATCACGAACATGCTGAGAGCAATGACAAGTCAGGGCTGATCTCTGTAAGTTGAACTTGCAACTTACAGGACCTGAAGTTATTACTGTTTTCTGTTCCTGTATAAGCAGGGATGTGTACGCTTCCTACAGGGGATGTTTTCAACTTCAGATTGATTCTGTTGAGAATGGACTGCAAGTTGTGGGCCGCAAGCCAATAACGTACTGCAGGTCCTGACTTGTTAGAGCTGTGTAAACAGGGCTACTATACCTCCTTAATCACAACTAATAAAAGACTAGAAGAAAGCAATCAATTACCTTATAAGTTGTTGGTGTTTTTTTTAATAAAAAGCAGAAGTTTATCTGACATGGCTATTATTTTTCACACTTGTACAATAGATGAGACAGTTTAAAGCAATCCGAGCGTCTTACCTGTGTGCACCCAGGGTTTGCTGGTGATTGTTTGCCCGTGACATTCCCGGGAAGCCACAGTGCTCCTGCCCCCAAGCCTGGCAGAACCCGCCAGCCACCGCCTTGGGTCCCCTGCCAAGCTTGTAGCCATTCGTGGTTGACTTGAAATCTGAAATGTAAATTTTTGGTGCAAATTAAAAACTTGTTTGTAAGAACTCAAAGAGGAATTAACTTTGTAGTGGCAATTATATATCTTAATTATCACCATATTTTAACAAAGTCTGAGTGAGACATGTTAACTTTAGTTCCTGCATTTTTGCACCGCGCCGGCTGTAGACATCCTCATTCCTTCGCCAGAGGGGATGACATCACACCTGTGGCATGCATGAGATAAGCTCTTCATTTAGAAACAGGTTCGTGTCTCTCAGAGATGTTCCCTGGGGGGTGACGTGGCTGGGGTCCTGGTCCTGAAGTGGGACCCAGCCGGGCAGACGAGTGCTGCTGAGCAAACTGCCGTGCCAGGTGCTAACGGGCGACACGAGGGCCCGCGTGCCGCTGAGCGGCCGCACCGCCCGGCGTGTGCAGGCTCTCGGCCCCGGCGGATGGCCGGTAGCTCGCCTGTGCTTAAACCTGAGTGAAAACGGCCCAGCTGACAGTAATTCATTCACCCGCAGCAGCTTGGTCGTATGTTTGAGCCCAAGGCCTGAAAAAAGTCCTGTTTACTGGAGACAGACGCGACTGTGTTGAAGATTTTTTTTCTCTCCTCTGTGGGTATTTTTTAACAAGTTGGGTTCCGTTGTTGTGCTTCTTTTAGCAGTAGTTCTAGCATTAAGTTCTCAGAAATGCTTCTGGCACGCATGAGGCTACGCAGTTCAAGGGGGAGGCACTGGGATCTAAGATGGTAGCTGGCGATGTAAGCCTTAGTCCTGCCTGGTGGCTCATGTTCCTTTTTTTGCCCCTGCTCACCTCTAGCTTGTCCACTGAAGGGCAAGCAAGGGACTGGCACCGCAAGGGCTGGATTTTTTTTTATTTTTATTTTTTTCTAATGAGGCCTCGCAGTGCTACTGTATTAAAAGTAGTAAATTGCAGAATTTTAGTTACTGGAACGGCCTGTGCATTCCATACTGTGGCGTGTTTAGCCAGGTCAGAAAAGATGCGACTTTACTGTGGATTCAAAGAAAAGTGTCACTGGCACAATCTTTTTTTTTTTTTTTTTTATTAGCTCATTTCATTATTTTCAATAATGCTAAGTATGTGCTACCCACTTGCTGATCCAGATCCAGTGATTTAAACAAGAGCTGTCCCTGTAATAGGGTGATGCTTGAGGAACGCTCTGAGGGTGGTCTCAAACCTCTGAAGTCCCAGTCCTAAAATGGGCCTGGGCTTTCAAACAGCAAAGTGCACACAGGCAGGAAGGCTGGAAATTTTAAAAGGGTTTGAGTAACTTTCAAAAAATTTGCGCTTAAACTTCTCTCATATTCACCGTTCTAATACAGGCCTTGTAGACCATTGTGCCATTTTGTTCTCATGTATAATATCACTCTTACATTTTTGTAATAATTTTAGCTGTTTAAATCTGTTCCCTGCTACTTTAGATGTTCACCTCAGCTTACAAATGCTGAGCTTTAAAATCGATTTTTTTTGAATGATTAAAAATGCTTTAAAAAATAATTTTGCTTTTTAGGATGTTTTTTATTAATTGCTATGTATTTAACTTTAAAAAAAACAAACCTAACCAAAAAAACCTCAACAATTTTGTTGAAATAGTCCTACAAACTCTAGTATTATACCCAAAACTAAGCTTGAGACATTCTGGTCCCAAAGAAATTTTTTGGGGGGAGCAAGCTATAGTGGAAAGAAAATGGACATTTTGAGAAGAGTCACCCCTCCTGGTTGGGTCCCGGCCCGCGGGGGAGGCAGCCGGGCTGCCGGCACAGCGAGGTTGGCGGGGCGAGAGGCCCCCGTGCCTTTCGCAGCGGTGGCGGCCAGTGCTCCCCTCTGGCGCTCATCCCGTCCTTCACTCTTCAGGGAGTGGCGGCTGTTGGACAAGCCGAAGCTCTCCACATGCAGCCGGGTTCCGCTTGCAGCTAAACCAGCTGATGTTTCTTCCTCACATTGTTGGAATATGCTGTTAATTACTTTTTGAAATATCCGTATACTTTTCCTCTTAGGGGATCTTACAAGCAAGCTTTCCGCTAACAACTTCTGTGGTTCGCCGTAACCTCTCAGAATAATCATTGGCTCCATTGAACTTATGCCAGTTGTTTTGTTAAACTAAATTGAGAGAACAGGGCCTATATTAATTCTCGAAAGACATGAGATTGCCCTGTGTTTTGGGGAAATCTTGATTGCTTACAGAAGAATAAATGAACAAGGCAGATATTAACTTTACACCTGACTTCAATTTCTTTGAGCAGTGGAGAAATGTCCAGTAGGAGGAAAAAAAATCCTGCTAAAACTCATAAGCCAGCCATTAATAGGCTAATTTTATTGTGCTGCAAAATCATCAGCTGCTTACAGAAAACAAAAGGGCAATGAATGCAGTATTTGTTTTTTATTCTTAGGAAAAAACCTTAAGATCAAACAGCCCCTAAAAGACTGAGCTGATGTGCATCCCACTTACATATTTTTGGATATCCTCTGATATTCATTCCACTGATGTATTTGATAGGTAATTATATCAGCCATATCAAGCTGCTGATACCAAACAGTGGAAGACTTCAGTGTTTTACCATAAAGCTTGTAACCCTTGTTATTGAACTCTCATCAGACTTGGGATCTGCAGCAATCATTCAAAAGCTGTAGTTGGTATTTTTGTGCTTATGCCACATTTAAAAATTATTATTCTTGCTTCATCAGTTAGTCTTTTTTAGCTAGCTTGAAGAAAAAAAAAAACATATTGCAAATGAGCTACTATTCTTATTTGTTGTTTTAAGAAGGGTAAGCACTGAAGTATTCAAATGGAACAGATTATACCTTTAATTACATCCAAACAGGATGCTGAGCTGATTTTTCTATTTTCTGTTTAATTGCTATAGTTCAAAAAGATATTGCAAATTTGTAGATGAATTATTTAAGCATAGCCTTCTGGCCTCTGAGTTTACGAGAAAGACCAAAAGGGGAAAAAAAAAAAAAAAAAAATTTAAAGGGGAAAATTGCCACTTCCTTCTTTAAGAAAGAAGTTTAAATAAAACATCTTGGGAGAGACTTTTTAGCTGGATAGATGTTTTATGCTTTCTGGGAGCATCGCGGGACTCCATGGGATTTGTTTGTATCCCACCAACCACACCGGGCCCCTCACTCCCGAGGGACCCCCCGCTCTGGTGCCACAGGTAGCAAAGTGCTGTTTCTCCTCTAACCTGTTTGTTGCTGAGGGTGTTGCTTCACGGATGCGATCCCAACCAGCCACCCTTTTCGTGGATGTGCTTGCTCTCCGTTCTCCTACATACAAAATGAGAATAATGAAAGCAAACACAATTCATCACTTCTTAAACTAAATATATTTCCATTTTGTTTGCATGTGCGTGTGTATATATCATTCACCGTATATATTTAGAATATATGCTACGACATTACAGCCAGTGATAAATCCTACTCACTTACTATATGTGTTATTTGCTGCAACATTAAGCTCAGTAAGAATTTTATATGTAACTTGTACCAAAACTAAATATATTGTGGAATTGATGCACAGTTGTAAACAAGAGCATAACTTCCCGCTTCAACACAGTCGAAGGTGGCAGCTTGTGTGGCAATTCTTTTGTAAACAATTGCAGACTTTCCAAAGAATAAGCCAGTTAATTACATTTTTAACGATGTTTTTAGAAAATGGGATTCCCGGGGGGAGAAAAAACCCCCAAAACACCAACAAAAAACCTAAACCTAAAGCTTGTACTGTATAAAGGAATGTTATGTGTGAAAAACTGGACTCTCTGTGCCCAGGTCTTTTGCTCTCCCTGCCTTCCTTTTCTCCTTCCACTGAACTTGCCTGTATAGAGTATTTTTTTACAGCTCCACTGTGAATTCAAAGAAAGATGACACCGGTACAATCTATTTAATTTTTTTTTGTGGATTATCTTATTTCATTATTTTCCATAGTGCTAAGTATGTGCTACCCATTTAGAGAGCTGATGCAGCGCACAGCAAAGCTCAAGAGGTCCTCTTAAATACACACAGCTTATGCAAGGCTGTGACACAAGTAGGCTTTAAACGCTAGCAGCGTTGGCAGCTTTGAAGGGCTGTTATGGTCCAGCCTTGCCGACACGTCACAGGTTACATGGAGAGATTCAGGGAGAAACCGAACTAACTGGAGTAAGAGTAATACACAACTTTTATTGATGAAGTTCAGGGGAAAGAGGCACCGGGGGCAGCTGTATTAATCCCATAATAACTTGAAATATAATCAGTACATTGCTGCAGGGATGGCTAGGAAAGGAGGGAGGTGGAGGTGTCAGGGTTTAAGTTCACAGGCTTTCCCAGTTCATTAAAAAGTGAATCAATCAGAGAAACAGGCTGGCTTTTCAAAGGGCTGGCAGTTGTGAACGGGCTTCGGACGTTGGGAGGCACGCAGATGGCGCGCCCGTCCTCGCGTGGAGGCTGCTGGAGCTCAGCAGCCATCCATTTGGGGAGACGGCTGTGTTTTACCCTGCTCAAGCTAGTAAAATGTGTTATAATGTGCTAGGGGAGATTCTGGCTGGATTTTGAGAAGTTAAAAGCTAGGCAGTGTTGGTGCTGTGGGCCATATAAAGGTGACGCTGATAGATGTTTATAAAGAGAAAAAAAAGTTTTGTTTTATAATTTCTAGAGTGGTGGTTTAACCAGAAGGCAAATGGGCAGAAGGAGTCTGCCTACAGGACGCCTCTTTGTAGGCAGCTGGTATAGTAATTAGCTCATTACTATTAATTTTTGCCATCCCTGGACTGATCAGTGATGTATTAAAAACAAACCAAACCAAAACAAAACAAACCCAAACCAAATAGAATTCACATATCTGGATCTGGCATTTCCTACATCCTTTTGATGAAGCTGGTGCAAGTACACAGACCAGGGAACATCCTTGGAGAGCAAGCTTACACCCACAGGCACTCAGAGGTTTAGGACAGAATGCCCTATATTTAAATGGGACTCATGAC